AATGCCATCAGCAAAACTCAGTTAACCCACTCATCTGCTTGTCTGTGATGAAGAAAAATTCAAGGCCAAGAGTGGAAAAAATTTTAAATCTATTCATCACTATTCTTTACCACTGATTTCATTATTTGTCCTCACATGTGAATCTGATAACTTGTATACATATAAGATAACATAAGCAGCAAACCGAAGTGGACCAATGATGCAAATAAATTAATTAGATTTGATAAATAAAAACAAACACATTTCTGTGTTTTAACAGTTCATGAACCAGTATTAAACTGAATATGGCAGAAGAGTTTGAATGTCAATATCAGTGAGCAAGCTGATGTAGTAGTAGTGCTCTAGACTTATATTCTGGACGTACTTGGTTCAAATTTTGGCTGGAAAACTGGCAATCCTGACTGAGGTTTTTCATAGTCTTCTTCAGTCTCTCAAGGGGAATTCCAGGACAGTACTTTAATTATGCCATGCCTGCTACCTTCCACATCATTTTCAAATTCATTATACTTCAGTCATCTTACCATTCAGCTCAAGATCCTGAGAGTATAAAGGAGATAATAAGATCATAGAATCCGGAAGGAAAAAAGCATATATCTCGCTACCTCCATTCTAATCACTGAGATTAATAAAAACCATTAAAAATCAAAGAGGGAGATTAAATATACATTCTCCGCTTCTTGGTCTCCTGAGTAAAAAATATCAAGAATTTCACAATTGCAGTTACTCATATAATCACATTATATAATTTATTCTATATGACATTATGATTTTTATAATTATCTTCAGTATATTTAGTGTTCAAAATATTTAACTTTTATTTATCATAACTGTTATGAAATGAAGTAGGCGTCATATATATTAAAGTTCACTTCCAAGTAAGTTAAAATTGTATATGACTTTAAATACACTATGAAGAGTGACTACTAAAACTTCATATTTATGCATTTTAATTAAAAAAAATATTTGGTTCGAGGTTCTCACAGTAGTGACTATGCAGAATATAGCATTCTGGGTTATAATGCCATATAATTCAGAAACAGCACACACTTCAGAGGAATGTATCACCACTATCCTCAGCTTGCTCCCTGCTTCTGCTGCTTTGTTTGGCTTACTTCTTGACTCCCAGGTTGGAGGTTATATGTTTTCCAAAATGGCGGGTTGCCTCCAAATTAGTGATATTACAACCCAGACATTATGACCAACAGCAGTGATCATATTTCCACATCCAAAATATCCATATTCCACATCCAGCAATAAATCCCAGATGTCAGATCAGAGTGGAACTTAAATTTTCACTTGAAACATAGTGGTTACAAGAGAATCATTTTATAGTGTTTCTGTATTAACCGTTAAAACTTATGAATAAATGCAGATCATTTGTGCAATAGACAATTTCCATTACATGACAATAATCCATATGAACAGAAAATTAATAACAAATGTGACCCTTAAATTGCTATGAACCATTGGTATTTCACTACTAAAAGTGCAAAACATTGCTCATGGCAACAATAATGTCTTGGTAAAAACTGCTGCACTTGTATAAATGACTGTTAAAAGATTCTGTGAAAACAGAGTGTATATTATAACAACTGAAAACAAATAAAAATTTTCAGTCTCTTTAGATTAGCTCCTAATATTTTGAAATATTTAATTTTGTGAAATCTAAGCATAACATAACATATAACTATAACTGAGGGCAATCAGCATCATTCATTTACATGAGAATGTTTGCCACTGAAATATATTATAGTTAGTATGACAAATGAAGGAGTGCACTGTTGCGACAGTGTAGTTACAATATCCATTTGAACACTGCACATATTGCTACACGAAATTGCTAGTTTGAAACAACTGATAGCAAAGGTATCATATCTGTGGCGAGGAAGAAAGAGGGTTAAGTAAGAAACAGTCAAAATTAAGTGCATCCTAACTTATCCTTAATAAAGGTACTGAGTCAAAACTTAGGTGTGTCAGTAAAGCAAAATATTCTCTGTTCAGTGACATAATCAGGGCTGGATATGGGGACAGATGTCTGCTTAGTTCAGGAGTGCTTAATTTTGAAGAAGCTATTTTCGATGTCTTTGCTTCCAGCAACAAAATATGTAGGAACAAGTTCATGAACTAGAATGATGAACATTTCCTTGTAATACTTGTCAGTTAGTCTCTCTGGGTTTCATACTGATCTAAAGAGCTCTGAACTGTAGTTTCTACCAAGTTCTGAAAAGGAGCACCCCCTTCCTTCCAAACTGGACCATATACCTAGTTCTGAACTGGAGTGTCTGACTAGTTCTGAAGTGGAATATCTACCCAGTTCTAAAATGGACTGTCTATCTAGTTTTGATCTGGAGCATATATCCAATCCTGAACTGACTGTCTACCTGGTTCTGATCTATAACATCCATCTAGTTCTGAAATAGAGTGTCTACCTAGTCCTGAAAAGCCATCTCCACCTCTGAACATAATAAAATACTGAGTGCAAGACATTATTACATAAATGTCTAATGCCTTTCTTCTTAACCTGAAAAGTACTACTTAGTAACTTCACTCTCTTTTTTTCATAAAACTGGAAATATCTGATAGTAAAATGAAATCAAAACACTACCTAGGCCTATTAAAATGTAAATTCCATTCTTTCTGGAACATTACAGAAAAACATTCGGTGCTGTAACTTTAGAATGTTTTTTGCATATTAGTATTTGACAATTCTAAGATCAGTTTCTTCATATATATCTATAACTATACAGACAGAAAGTATGATATGCAGCCATTGATATTTACAATATATTAAAACATGTGCAAAGAATGTTATGTAGTGTGCACTGTCCCTTGCTTTACATGGGTTACATTTATGTGAATTCACAATTTCATGGTGTTCATTAGTGTAAATACAAATATGAAACAGGTTTATCATACATATACGTATAATTGAAGTGAAGGCTTATTCAAGCATGCATATATTATGAAACCTTCTCCAAATTAAAACCCTTTCTATGTTCAGATTTGCATTAAAAAAGAACGTTTCCTTGTGCTATATTTTCATGGAATTTTATAAATTCAATATAGTGGATGCTGGAAATAGTTATCTTAAAGATTCAAGAGATGAGTATAAATTTATTTATAATAGTACCCCAAACCAAAGATGTACAAGAACAAAAGCCTGGGTAAATTAAGGTAGAGTTGTCCCTATGCTTAACTAATTAAGCACTATGCCATGAAGGCCTATGTCAGAGTGAATGTATAGATTCCCGTTTTCTTTACCTTGGCACCAGTTGGAGGTGAGTGATCAACTTCACACCACAACTGCTTTAACATTCGGGAAAGATTCCCTGGTACCCACTGGATAGGAGGTTGGATGGACCTCAGAGCCAGTATGGATGACTTGGAAAAAAGAAAATTCTTGACTCTACCAGGACCCAAACTCCGATCCCTCGGTCATCCAGGCAGTGGCCAGTCGTTATACCAACTATACTATCTTGTTTGTAGCATGACAAATGTTAAACACTCAAAAATCTTCCTAGATTCTAACTTGAATTAACAATTTCTGGATCTCATGTTGGACTTAGTTCAATTTTTAAAAAATTAAATTCTATTTGAACATCATACTGAGTGCTACATTAAAATTTCACAAAAAAGACAGTTGGGTGATATGGATCTTAAAGAGGATATTTAGTCCAATGATTAGATAATCATATTTTGGTCTGGTGTGTGACATTTTCTGACAATTTATAAAAATGTATTTGAAATAAGTTGAACATGGAGCAATGTGATATGAATCTCAAAAGGAAACCTTTGCTACCTTCAGTCTAACAATTCATTACATTTCAATCTAACATGGGACTCAGCACAACAACTTTTAAAAATCCAAACTACATAATTGGATGTGATGGTATGTAATATATCAATGGGTTGAATATCCATCAACATGGTTATAGTTCATACTGAACTTCCTGCTCTAGTTCCTCATTTCTGCACAAGATATCAAGTGGTAAATAATAAAGTATGCCTGTAAGTGACATTATTATTTCTGTCATGCATATTATGTGTTGATAAGTAGGCTGGTGCAGATGAATTGCAAATACATGGTTAGATGTGGGTTCCATATGTGGAGAAATGTCTGCCAAGTAGAAATAAGTTTGGTGGATTGTGTCAGCAATTTCCTATAACAATTAGTGAGATATGTATAAGTTTGATGGGAGGCTCTGAATGTTCGTGCATCATATACTTCTTTTCTTTCAGTCTGTAGATCTGGATTCCCTTTATGTAGCTTTATCTCATAAATGTAGCCACCAAGTAGAGCAAGGAAATACTGTAACTTAATTTAATATATGAAGGTCAAAATCAAAGTAAATACCACTCTCCAACATTATTATAATTATTATATAACTTGAAGCTTTCAAAGTGACATTATACAATAAAACTTCCTCAGAACATCATTCATGTTGATGTGGCATTGGTGTCTCACATTTCTGAGACTGAAAAGTCAAATGTCAACTCCACATTGACATGGCTGACTGCCTAACAAGACCTCATTATATATTTATTATATCTGGCTTTGTGCAGTTGTTTACCCCCTTGTCATCCCTTTTTCCAGCATAATTAAAATAAATATTTCAATGACACAACTAGAATGCATTTTCTACCATAACAACAATCCATATAATTTTATGAAAAATTTCAAGAGTACTATCTTCTGGGATGTGATGCAGTGTAGTCTGGTACAAAATCACTGATATTTCAAGATCAAACAGTAGGCCAAGCCTATGGTTAGCGTAAGTCCGCACCATAGTTCAAGTAGTTAGTCGCTGGCTTCCCACCGCGGCAGCCCAGGTTCGATCCCAGGTCTGGTCAAGTGGAATTTGTGGTGGACAAAGTGGCGCTGGGGCGGGTTTTCTCCAAGAACTTCGGTTTCCCCTGCATCTTAATTCCACCAAATTCTCCATCATCATAATCACCCGGGGCAGATACAATAGGCCAATCAGTGGCTGCCATGCTGAGTGGACCCAGTTGGACTCCAACCCCTCACTAAGCAAATTTTAATCTGGTCAGTGTGAAAGCTTCAATTCATATATATATAAGCAGGGTGATTTTCTTTGTTGCCAATCTTAATCCATTATTTTTCTCCATTAAAGAATGCATGTTTATCAGTGACAATATACATAATATACAGTTCCTATATGAAGTTGTGCGTAAATCTCAGAATGTTAAAACTTGGGACTAAAGGCCTTTCAACTTTCACAGGATTGTAGGAGTTACAGAAGAAATGTCTTCATCCATAATAATAAACATTTATATATATGATCTAGCAATAAAATAGCTTATGATTGGAGGACAGCAATAAACTAGCAAAAGAAGACCCATGAAGTATTACCCTTGTGTAAAAAGATCACATATGAAGGAATCATTATTGTCAATCACTATAATATAAAAATTAAAACATTTTTTCCTGAAATATCACATTAAAAGAGATTTTAAAATATAATAAAATATCACAACAAATGTTGGCAACTTTTGAATAGCCAAATATTTCTGGATAACGGTGAGACACATACTTGCCTCAAGCAATAATAGTGCCTGTTTGAAAAGAACAGCAATCCCTCGACAACCACACAGTTTTGCCAGTTTCAGCTTTCAAGCATATATGGGTTTCCATTTGTACACAGTTTTTCTCACCACTTTTTTTTGTCTTCTGTACCTTCAGTTCTTAATTTTAGTAAATACAGAAAAGAATTTGTGACTTCCACATCAAGAGATTCGCATTTGTTAGACATAGCGCTGTAATAATATCTAAAATCAGTTTTATACATCCCAAATTATTACTACAGTGCATCATTTTCTAACATTTTTTATTTTCACACATGTTTATATGTCCAGTATTTTTGTGGGTTTAGTGAGAGAACAGGTAACTTAGTTAGGCTTTAATGAATGCTAACAGCAGCAATAGTCTCCCACCTCACCCCAGTGTCCCAATATAATATTGGTCTTACCAGATGTAATGTTTTTCAGGAACATAACCCCAAAAGTTGATGAAGAATTGCTGTGTACAATATAAAAAGACAGACTTCTGCACACTGTGATCCATGCATGGGTTCCAGTTTCAAGACATGTGTAAACATGTCATCACCAACAAACACTGGTACAAAATATAGGCTGTTTATGGATCAATGTGCTGGACTCCTCAAATTATTCAAGCTACAGCAACTTCTAGTACACTGTACTGTAAACAGCCTCAATTGTCTACAAGAGGGTTGTCCAACCTCATCTCAATGAAGGGCCAGTTACATAGTTCAACATCATATATTATAAATAAATATTTTATAAGTTGTAGTGATATGAGGTTCCTTACTTGCTATTTTAATTAGTGGGTGATTAATTCACATGGGTTTATTCATTATTTTCCTTGTCACTGAGGGTATTGTTCATTCTGAGTATTGTTTGGTTCTTAATTGCATATTCCTGTCTTTTAATGCATATGTAAATAGAGATATTTTGTACACAGAAATGTTCCAACCAACAAAACGAACAATACATGCCTACACATTTTAAATAATATGAAATTGTGTTTCAATTATCTATAATTTTAAAATATACAATATAATATCATAATTTATTAATTGGAACTAAAGCATAAATTAGTTCATATAATTTACAGATCTAAATCATTCAACTAATTTTAAATTTCACGTAATTTTCTCATGGCCACCAGTTGGACATCCCTGAACTACAACACTTTACTTGTACCTACCCTCAGGGCCTTTGTAGTTATTTACAGAGATATGTTGTCACAGAGATTAATATTCTTGATAGTGTTTTGAGTATTGCTGCATTATCGAGCGTCTTTATTATTACTTAATAATTCACAACTAATCTAGTTCCTTAATTTCGCTCGGATTTCTGCTTGTCACAGTTTAAGGATTCATTAACAATTACTGTGGGAGCTGTCCATAAATCACAGACAGATACAGTAAAATGAAAATAATACAGTTCATGCATGTAATTCCATTCCTCAAGTGGGACAGTAGCCAAAAATGCAAGTTTTCCATGTATTTTATTGCTTAATGTGATATTCTTTGTGATACAATACATGAATTGACAAGTAATTCTTAAACACTATTAGGCCAGGTAGCGGTATGTATATATGTAACAACAGAACTTCTGTTGAGGACTTTCCATTTTGTGTAGTTTGTGGTTCATTTTACATTGCTGTCAGTAGGTAGACTATATAGCGTTGAAAGAATTTCAATTTTATAATGGTAATATTAATGTAAAGTAATGTAATAATGTAATAATATTATTTTATATATTTGCTTGCTTATTCTCACCACTGAAAATGTACTCAGTTATTGTAACTTATGGACGGCTCCTTGTAAGTAATATTCTAAATAAAATATATGATTATAATATATGTCTAGAGAAATGAAATGCATATGTCTGACTGTTTCAAATTTGTTACCTTTTCTCTAGCAATATATTATAAGTTAGTTCTGATTTATGAAGACTTAATTATCTTCCAACATGTATTTACAATTTAATTTACCTTACAGCTAATTACACAGTGTTTCTGCTGCATATTACCAAGGAAAACTGGGTATTCTGGCAGGCTGAAATAGAACTTCTACAATGTGACACTAGGTGTCATCCTCATCAACATCTCCAGTAGGGCAACAAAGCCCTTCGGTTCCATCTTCTCGGATGCAAAAGAGTGTCTTTTCAGCTGTCGTCACCTGATGGGGAACAATTCCGTGAAATTCCCGCAGGTCCTCACTTGGAAACCAGGCTTTATCGTTGTCTTCAATGATCAATATCCCAAAGGCCCTAGAACAGTCATATTTATGCGTGAGAACACAAGAGAAATGAAAAACCGTGAAAAACAGATAACATTGACAACTGCAATTGGAGGAAAAGTAAGGATACAATTTAGATCATGGTCTTACATGCTATGACACCCTGCTGTCAACAGAAGGATAAGAGTGAGAGCATCAGAGAAAAAAGTGGCCACCTAGGACAGCACATTTTATAACCTCTGTTACTGGACTTTTGTTAAATCAAAGTAATTTCTGCTGACACTTTGTTCAGATCAGGATCATTAAAAGGCAGCAAAAGGGTCACAAATTATGCATTAAGGACAGTTTCTGTTACAAAGTCTGCAATTTTTTCTTTAATAACTGTCACAAACTGTTGCGAGACTTGAGTTGTTTATAACTGCGGGGTGGGGGGACAATTCTCATTTGCTGGTGTGGCACTTAGGCTTGTAACTCCCAAGACTTTTACCATGAAGATTAAGACAGTGAGGTCTTTTGAAGACCCAGAAGACCACAGTAAAAATTTTCCCTTGATGCCAACTACTGAGAGAAGTGGTGAGCTAAGCAATTAACACTGCGCCGATGTCTCTGGCTGTGGCAGTTTTATTGTAAGGATGGCAAGCCAATGTAATTGGTTCATGGCATGCAAGGATTTATGCACTGCAATGTATCAGTCCTTGAAGGGTCATGCGTTCATGTTGGGTGGGGTCCCTTATCACCATGGCGTGGTGCTTCTTCAGGTTGCGGATGGAGAAGACCACTTCCAGATATGGAAGGTAGCTGCAAATATATTGAATGAGCAGTCATGGACAACAAATAAGTGGTGGTCCTCCTCACCGTTAAAAATAAGCTTGTTACAATATGTCACAAAGGACCTTGGACTTGGAGCTACACAACTGGCAGCTTCTCAAGAAGAGTTCAGTTCCATGAAGTTAGCTAGTTAGAATCATGTCTTCTGGTATTTAACGCAGTTTAGTCCATTATATCCCAGATAATCAATCTTTCATAACCACAGCTGTGATGACCTCAGATCCACATATAAGTCACTTTTTGCATGAAAAAGTTGTATTTTGTAAATGCCACCATGTAACAGCATATAATGGCTCTGCGTTAGGAAATATTTTACATTTACAAAACTTGCTACTTTGTAGAATAAACTGCATTTATTTTGCAAGAACTATCTTCCAACACAGAAGTGTGAAACTGGAGTTTATATGCAGTTTTCATGTTGTTGTAAGAAAACATGCTCTTGAAGGGCTAAGGTAACATACATAGCATACAATATTCACAGCATTATGCTCACCTGCATATTCCCACTACAGGGATCCAGAGTACGGATATGAGAATCAAAAATGCTATCAAAATGAGAGCCCACAGGGGCCATTCATGTCGCTCGGTGATGCCCTTGCTGGACACCCAAGCCGGGTAGCCACTGCCATCCATAATTATCTCCACAAAGCTTGCCACTAAGATGGACAGCATGGCTAGAGGTGACAAATACTTCCAGCAGATAAGCCAGTAGAGACCTGGCCGTCGCCCCGTCATCAATTCAATATCATCAGCGAATCTGACACAAAGGTTTCGTTAGAACACTCTAATTAAACTGCACTTATACATCTTTCTTTATGTGACACTATTTTCAAATTTTCTGATTTTACACTTTCATCAAATTTATGTTTATTTTAGGTGCTCGCCTCAAAAGTTTGAAACTGAGGTTTCACAGTAATAGAACAAACAGAGGGTTTAAAATACCATATTCCCAGATATTGAAGATTAAATATAAAGGCATAGGTGGGTCTGGGTACTTTCGCAGTCCTACTACTATGTCGTGAGTTTTGTGTAGCTGGTATTTCAAAGCAATATCATAACTTCACTTGCCACCTTATTCAGAAAGTATGCCATTCTGTTATTTTTTCAAGCTTATTTCAATTTCCTCTCCATATAAAGTACAAAATTTTATATCTGATTATATTCGAAGATGGATGTCAGTTTTAACTTTTAAAATATTATATTAATTATTTATTAATACAGTCATTTTTCGCTGACATAAATCAAGTTTATTTTAATACTGTGTCTGGCCTGTAACAACAGACAACGACCAACTATTCTCTAGTCTCTCACTTACTCTTTTCTAGACATTACACTTATTTCACCCTTACAGTACCAAGAACAAATAGACTGAAGGTAGAAAAGAATATATCAAGCCCCATCTTCAATCAGGTTCACCCTCCATGTCCACCATTTTGTATTACAACAATTCCCCTTTGCACTACAGGTGAATATCTACAGTGTATGGTAGCATAACAATTAATGAAGAGTATGGTCTCCTGGGTTGCAACATGATGTAGTTCATGAAGAGCCTGACATTTTGAAAGAAAATATCAACTTCACCTGCAGGGTCAATGAGGCTGTCTCTGATATACATGGAATTACAACCCCGAAAATTGCACCCTTCATAGTCGCAGCCATGAAAATCCCAAAGACAACATAACTAATATATGATAAATTAATTTCCAACCATTTTTTTTAAAGAACAAAGAACAGTTACATAACAATTTCTGTATGTACTGTATCTTTGGAGGTTAGTAGTAACAGAATTACATATATCTGTCACACCAGGTAGTATTTCCATTTAAAAGAAAGCATAAGACATAATTATTCTTTGAAACTTTAAAACTTAAACTAAAAACAAGAATAGGGAATATAAAAATATAACCAAAAATATTAACAATATATCACAAAAGTCTTATAGTGTAACTCACCGTTTCAGTCCATACACATATGAGACTCCAACACACTCAAAAAATGCAATGATGAGCAGTGGGAAATTGCCACTGAAGTTGTCAAATAAGATGAAGACATAATTCCCAGCTCCATGTGCAAAGGCCATTGAGATGGTGCAGCAAACCAGACATAATACTCCTGAATAAGAATAAAACCATCAGGAAATGAAGGAAATTACAACGTGAAAATAGTTCCTTATACAGAGTAGGGCTGTACTTAGGACAGAGTGACCCAAGGTGATGTTCTGGGTGCTAGAGTGCTGCCCTCCCACTTTTCCTAAGGACACTGATGGGAAACCTAAGCTGCTGTACCTTATTTAATTTATAATCTCTGAAGTGGAAGCATCAAGCTTGTATATGCAATTCAATTGTTGTCTCTTGTTCTAGTGTGCACTTCAAAGTGCACAGCTTTCACTAGACAAAAATAACAATGACAATATGTACACATAAGTGGTGGGCCTAACTGCTGGCCCTTGCACCACAATGTTTAGTCATATGTTGTGAATACTCCTCTGTTTTAACACTTCAACAATCCTGCAATTAGAATTAAGAGCAGATTTGTGTGGTGAATTAAGCTTGGGGCACATAGACACAAAAATATAGCCCTACTTCCCCCCCCCCAATCAAGAGAGTTTATTAGTCTAAAAAAAAAATAAAGAGACTGAAACATAAGTCTTCATTCATGATGTATAAGCATACAGGTGGGTGTATTCAGACAAATATTGTTACTAATATTCAATGAGTTTTCTTCTTTGGAACCCTAAATGTTATTGAATAAATACATGGATTTTTCTACTTGTCAGCTTTGAATTTTCACTCATCATGTATAAGCACATAAGGGGGTATATTCTGTCAAGTACTGCCATTAACATTCAATGACCCTTCTCATCTGGAACTTGGAAAACAAAAGTATAATGATGTGCTACTTATTCTGGTCGAGCTGTGGTCACATGAATGCTATATCTACAAACCTGTGAGTATTTCTTTCCGAAGATTAGGAAACAGCTTCATATCCACTATGGATGTCACAACTCCTTCTAATGTCCCAAACTGGGAGTCAATCCCAAGAGTGAAGAGCATCAGGAAAAACAAAATGGACCAGAATTGTGCACCTGGGAACTGGTTGATTGCTTCTGTGAAGATTATGAATGCGAGGCCAGTTCCAGAGGCTGACTGGAATTGGAAGTAATATGTTAATTCTAAAATATATTTCTGTTTCAATACAACAATGGAAATGCTAATGCGGTAAAGCCCACTTACTCCATGAACAAAGACACATCATACTTTTTGAGGCAATGTATGGAAGAAAAATCATGTGTGAGTTTGTCTTAATTTCCTGCTGGTGTTTGTGTACTGAGAGCATGTTTAACACAGAATCTAGTTACTTTCTAATGATGATGTAATGGTCTAATGGTGATGTACCCTTGCTCCCACAGGGGATGCAGTATAAAAGAAAACTGTAACGAATGCACATGTAGAGCAATCTGTAATTCATCAAGATATGCTTTTCCCATCTTATTAACTGCAATAACAATTACTTCCTTCCAGTACTATTTCTGTGGAGAAGATATGCTAGAACTTGATTGTGCATGTTTCCCCTTTCAAATTTTGAACCAATTTCTCAATTTCGTTAAAATATGGTGTGCCACTGAATCCGTATGTGAATGTTTTCCAAGAATGCATTTAATTAATTTTGTATAACAGATTCATTATTTTCTGAAAAATTTGTCAGGACTGCACACTGTCATGTACTGACAGAAAAGCAGCATGCTTTCTGCATATCTTTCCTGAGTCATCATTCACAGCCATACTAACATACATTCATAATCCCTATAAATCTTGCAACAAGAATATTACCTATTAATCTATAGAAATGTGTAGATATCTACTAACAAAATGGTGAACCATTAGTGAGAAGTTTGTGCCTTAACCACTAATACAAGGATAACTGACAGCAAATTGCTAAAGAGGACATACAGAGCCAGGCATTATGAAATTAACAAAGGATGGAAGAAAATTACTTAATGGTGAGTGTCATTATTTCTATTCTTTACCTAATACTACTACAATGATTATAAAAGATGTGATGGTTCCTTACACATGTAAGGAAAATAATAAATTCATAAAAATATTTGATAAAAACATCAAGGGAAGAGACAGTTTTGAAGGTCTAGCTGTAGATGGGAGGACAATATTAAGAAGGACATTGGACAAATAATATGTTAAGAACATGCAATATATTAAACTGATTTTGGGCAGTTCCAACAGAGGCTTCTGTGAACATGGTGATGAACCTTGTAGTTCTGTACAAACAGGATATCTTCTAGACATCAATATTCTATCAGTTGCTTAAAGAGATCCTGCACAGGAGGCAATTGTTTACTTAGATGAAGCATTTACATTGTCCAGCTCCTTCTCCAAGTCACACTCAGGGATAGGTGGCATGACTTGTGTTCCATTTGTCCCCACATTGATGATGGTGCCTTCAGGTGGGAGAGAAGCTAGTTCAAGAGGGTTGAAGGCCAGAGAGGCTAAGATTGAATTTCTTTCTTCCAGGCAACGTTCATAGATCATAGTTGCTTTGAATCCTATGACAAATGAAAATAAGAGATCATTATACATAGTAATTAAAAATTAAATACAGATTTAAAATATTAATAATATAATATTCATTCATTTCACAGTAATGTGACATATACCAACAGGAAGCTAACTGGACCAAGTTCTTCTGTTAATACAGACTTGAAATATGGTTCTCTTTCTGTCTGATAGAGGCACATATGTTGTGAAAACTCTATGTGATTCAGTGTTTGATGATTAATTCTGTTACAAGATCTGACTTAGCGTTCTGCTTTCTGCCATCTATGTGCAACATTGGTTAATATTCTCTCATCGTTCTCTCTGTATTGTCACTACATGTTTCTGCCTAACTGACCATCTTCAGGTGTATAGGTTGTTGTGATGTAGGAATCTGCTGCTCACTGTAATGCTGTTCTGCTTTTCTTATGCAGTTGTTACAAGCATGCAACAGTGCACATAGAGGCTATTCAATACCCCTATGGCCGCGCCATAGGTCAAGCGGTTAGTCGCTGGCTTCCCACCATGGGGGCCTGTGTTCGATCCCGGGTCTGGTCAAGTGGGATTTGTGATGGACAAAGTGGCACTGGGGCAGGTTTCTGTACTTCGGTTCCCCATGTCAAGCTTCATTCCACCAATTGCTCCACAATTACCCTCACCTATCATCTGGGGCTGGTACAATAGGCCAGAAGTGGCTGCAGTACAAGGGACTTAGTCCCACCCCAGTAGCAATAAAAAGAAATACCCCTAAAATCATGCTGTCCCAGGAGGCAGCTTGGTTTCCTTGTGCTTTCATGCCAGTCCTGCTCATATGCAACTGGTACTTATAATTACCTATGACAGAGAAGACAACAATGCCAGCAAACATGGATGTGAAGCAGTTGGTAAGGGACACCATGATGGCATCCCGGTAACAGTTGTTGTTAACAGGGTTGTATGATGAGAAGGCAATAAGGCCACCAAAAGCAAGACCCAATGAGAAGAAGATCTGTGTCCCTGCCTCCAGCCACACGACAGGATCAGTCAGTGTCCACCACTGAAATGCAACAGTGGCTTATATCAAACACAGTCTTTAAATAGGATTGCTAATTTGTGCATACCACATTTCTGGAGAAATACTCGTAATGCTAGCTGTTTAGGAAAGATGAGAAATTCTTACAAAATTTTAATCAGGAAACTGTTGACAGTTGACAACTTGAGAGGACTAGGTACATGCTTGAGACTGATATTAAAATTGATCTTTTAGAAATAAGGATTGAAAATATGGATTGGATTCACATGGCTCAGGGTAGGGTACAGTGGTAAGCTCTTGTGTACATGGTAATGGATATTCAGGTTCCATAAGGAGCAAAATATTGATTATATGACCTAATATTGGCTTTTCAAGAAGGATTCTGCTGCTCATAATTAATTGTACTTAATTACCAAATTTTTGGGGTGAATGTGCTGCCTCAGTATTCAGGACAGAGAAGTTTTCTTCCATGAATATGGAGGGTGCACATTCCTCTGATACACGGGTAACACTCTACAGAAGTATATGACATCACATTCCAGAGACAGAACTCTTCATAATCACTGATGTGAGTACCCCAAATCTCAGTTTCGTTCCCACCCTCTCCTTCTAATGCAATCTTTAAAGAGGCATGGATTGCACAGAATCAAAGAGGAAACGGTAGGATCAATAAGGACCCAGAAGGATGTCAGAAGGAGCAGTCATAGCAAGCTGATTTCTGGGTAAAAATTTAAATGTGTGACTGTCCAAATATGGGGAAGTGCTAACAACTCCACCTATGCAAATATACTAACGATACTTGACTTCATAATTACATACTTTGTATCTTGTGACGCCACTGTGTTTTCCAGTATAGTCCTTCTTCTTTTCAATTTAAGCTATATAATATCAATTTCTTAAACTCCTTACATGGGCATGCATATGGTCTGCTGCCATACATGGAGTGGCCATTTACATCTGCACTGTTGCCTTTTAAAATTGTAATTTTCTTGGACATCAAATGACAGAAATACAAAGAAACTATACATCAGTAATAAACAACTGCTACAAGCTAGTTAAGTGATACAAAAAGTCTACCACCTTGCTATCTGTGAATGACAAGTGAATACCAGCAATAATAAAAACTTACAGCTAAAATATGTTTTAGCCAGTTTTAATTCACAATGACTGTTATGAGCCTCATCCAGTATTCCTGCAAAAGGAGTTGAGGCATGAGTTTGAAAAATTATTATAATGTAGCTCCCTGAAATATTACTGCATGGCACTGATTGATCAAAGTTATCAGTGCCATGGGGATTAACAGAGAGAAATCCATCATCTTTACCTTTATCGGTGTTTTTGCCAGCTATATATACATTTTCCAAGAACATCTTTAACAAGTATGACTGACTAGACAAAAATGAACACAGATATCACTATATTTCAAGGAAATTTTTGACAGTTCAGTAACTCTCTCATAAAGTATGGGACACCATAGTTTAAAGAATAAGAAGTGGAAGCAGGAATGCCATTACTCCAGCAACATACCTTTGGTGTGAACAAATGTCGTAACCCATCTGACATCCCTTTCAGTGTAACCCCTCGGAAGAAAAAGATGATAAGCACAATATATGGAAAGGTTGCAGTCACATATACAACCTAAACAAAGAGAAAGGGTAAAAGATCAAGATGCTAGTAAACAACAGTAATACAGTAGGAAATAATATAATTTTAATTATGGTCTTCTAGGTCATGACACCACATAGTCTGATAGGTGGTAATTCATGTTTTGTTGGAACATGCTTCTACCATCTTCTGTCATTAAGATAGAGGTAGTGTGTTTTCTGAGACATAAACACCAACCACATTACACTGTGTCAGCAGACCACAAATTCCAATTTTCACCACCACAAAAATCTCAGCTCTGAATTCAATATTTTGACACTGTTTTGATATATATATATATATATATATATATTATTTTTGTAAGGTCAGCCAATCTCCCACATATGCCAATGACAATACAGAATGTCCCACAATAATATTACTACATTATGGTAAATTAAAAATCTATTATTTGGCATTGTGGCTCATGTCTCCTATAAAAATAACTTGACATTTCTGCACTGCATTTTCGCCTGTTCTTGCAATTTGTGTTATTGTTTTATTACCATCCTATAAATACAGGACAACAGGACACAGAAATTATTCTGGGACACTCTGCATATAAAATACTTCAATTTTCGTAATTGTTGAGAACTTAAAAGTTGACAATTACAACTAGAATATATTTTTGAAAGCATTTTCAGTGGCAAATTAATTTGTAAGATCACAGTTTTTCAAACACAATACAAAGTATGCATTTTTCCACAGAAAGTTGTAGGCATTTACCTTTCCAGAAGAGGCAATCCCTTTGATCATGCACATGTAAACCAGGACCCATGCAACCACAAGAGCAAGTGCAATCTTCCAATTGAAAGCTTCTGGACTGTTGATATCCTCAGAAACCATTAAAGTAGTCCGATACCAAAAGTACTGAGTTGGGGTGCTTGTCTGAAACACATAAATTTGGCATTAAATACACAATGTTTCAGGTAGCTTCACTGTACCACCTGCTATGTACTGAAATCACCAACAAACTAACTTTCTAATTAATAGTATGGAGAAGGTTCCTTCTTGAGAAGCTAATAATTACTTAGTCATTCATGAAGTTAGCAGCATTTTATGGACACCAAAAGTTCATTGTCATGCTCAGATGAGCCTGCCACTGATCCCTATCTTGAGCCATATGAATCCAATCCATATCTTTTCATTCTATTTCTTTAACATCTTTCATTTTTTGATGATCCTAGTAATATTTGGCAAGGGGTACAAATTATGAAACTCCACTTTATGTAATTTCCCCAGTTCCTCCTTCATGGAACAAAAAAATTGAAAACACTTTCAAAATCTATATAAGGCTACGGTACACCACATTATGTTAGATACTGTCCACTGTCTGTGACATTTCTAATAAGCTCTGTCCATCACAGTCCTATCATGGGTTTCTGTGAGAGTGCACAGGAGTCTCAAGGGTGTGAAAGGAAAGTGCATCTGAATTACAAATAAAGGCATAATTCAGCATTTCTTTCCCCAGACTAAAAAGAACAATTCAAGGCTTGACAGTTGACACTGACACTCCAAGAACTAAACTGGCTATTTCCTTGCTTTTTGTGCAGTGTCTTAGTTTTGCTTTTAATATAAAAACTAAGACGATGGGCAAAGTCCATATAGATAGCCATAAACAGAGTGTTACATATTGTAACATGTTGCGCGACTGAGAACCCCCCTCCACCCTCCTCTCCACGGTAACGTAGCGCTCCCCGCCACTC